CTCCACCCTCCCGCCCTGCCTCCGTGCGTATCCCGTCCTCCGGGCCTCTCCCTGCGTCCCTGCCTACCTGCTTTTCCCTGCCTACCGGCCTAGCCCCCCCCCCCCCCCTCCCTCCCTCCCTCCCTCCCTCCCTGCCTCCCCTCCTTCCCGCCCGCCTGCCCGCCCGCCCTCCCACCCTCTCCGCCTCTCCCTCTCCCACCGCTTCCCGCCTCGCCGCCGCCTCCCGCCTCCCTCCTCCCGCCTCCCGACCACGACAACCACCGCGTAAGCGCCTCCTCTCCGCCACCTCCTTCCCTGCCTCCTCCTCCGCCACCCGCGCCAAAAAGAGAAAACAAGACCGCCTCCTTTTCTGTCCTCCGCCGCAGGTGGTCCAGCGGGTGGTCGAGCTGCAGGCGACGGCGTATCTCCCCGTATCTCCCCCCACACCTCCCCACATCTCGTGTGGTCGAGCTGCAGGCGACGGCGCGGCTGTGTATCGTCAAGGACCAGCTGACTGCGCACGACATTGCGAACCGCATCCTCAGGAAGGAGAACTTCATGGTGGCCCTCGTCAACCAGAAGCTGCTGCCCATCGAGCCGCTGCCGGGCTTGCGCCTGTCGGTGATGACCAAGACGCTCGAGTGGGCGCTCGAGGTCTGCGGGAGATGTGGGGAGATGCGGGGAGAGATGTGGGGAGATGTGGGGAGATGTGGGGAGATGTGGGGAGATGTCGAGTGGGCGCTCGAGTCTGCTTCCTCGGCGTCCATGCCACGGCCACGACACGCCCGCGACACGCCCGCGACACTTCGGAGACACTTCCGCGACTCGTCCACGACACGTCCGCGACACGTCCTGTCCCCCCCCCCCCCCTCCCCCCTCCCCCCCCCCTTCCTCGAGGTTTGCCTTCTCGACGCGATGTTTGACGGGTCAGGCTTCCGGATCAGACCCTCCTTCACGCAGGACGTGCGAGGGCTGCAGCGGCGGCTCTTCGCGTGCGGCGCGCTGACGCTGCTACTCTCGCCCTTCATCGCCGCATTCATGCTGCTCTTCTTGTTCCTCAAGCATGCGGAGGAGTTCCACCGCCGCCCCGCCGCCTCCGCTTTCTCGCGCGACTACTCCCTGCACGCGCGCTGGTGCATGCGCGAGTTCAACGAGCTGCCACACCTCTTCGAGGCGCCCCGAGATCGCCCCGAGATCGCCCCGAGATCGCCCCGAGATCGCCCCGAGATCGCCCCGAGATCGCCCCGAGATCGCCCCGAGATCGCCCCGAGATCGCCCCGAGATCGCCCCGAGATCGCCCCGAGATCGCCCCGAGATCGCCCCGAGACTGGACGCCACACTAGGCGCGGGTCCTCGCCTCGGCCTCGGACCCATATCTCCCTCATGTCTCCCCATGTCTCCCCATATCTCCACTAGGCGCGGGTCCTCGCCTCGGCGGCAGACGCGAGCGCCTACGTGCGCCAGTTCCCCACGCCGCTGCTCACGCTGGTCGCCCGTTTCGTCACTTTCATCGTCGGCTCGTCTCGCCGCCCGCGCTGATGGGCCTCGGCCCCCTCCTCACTTCCTCATGCGCCTTGCGAGTGGCGCGGGTAGGCTCGCTCGCCGCAGTGCTGATCGGGCTCTCTCTCATCAACGAGTCCGCCCTCCTCCTCTGCCGCATCTCGAGCTGTGAAGGAAGAGCTGTGAATGAGGAGCTGTGAGCAGGTCCGTCCTCGTCTTCTACCGCATCTCGCCCGACGCGCTCTTCGGCGAGGCTGCGGCGCCGCGCCAGGGATTCAACCTGCTGTGGTGGCGACCTCCCCGTCTCTCCCCGTCTCTCCCCGTCTCTCCCCATCTCTCCCCATCTCTCCCCACACCTCCCCACACCTCCCCATCTCTCCCCACATCTCCCCGCATCTCCCCGCATCTCCCCGCATCTCCCCGCATCTCCCCGCATCTCCCCGCATCTCCCCGCATCTCCCCGCATCTCCCCGCATCTCCCCGCATCTCGGCAGGTGGCTCGCCGTCTCCTCCACCATCCTCGCCATCTCGCGCGCTTTCTCCGACCCTCCCAACGCGCCCCTCCACCCCGAGGCCTTGCTGCAGTCCGTCGCGCGTCACACGCACTATCGGCCTGCGAGGTGGCGGTCTCCCCGTCTCTCCCCGACACCTCCCCACACCTCCCCCACATCTCCCCCACATCTCCCCCACATCTCCCCCACATCTCCCCCACATCTCCCCCACACCTTCCCCACATCTCCCCGTCTCTCCCCTGCGAGGTGGCGGGGCAAGGGGCACACGCGAGCCGTCTACGACGAGTTTGTCTGCCTGTACCAGTACCGCGTCTGGCTGCTGCTCCAGGAGATCCTCGGCTGCCTCACCGCGCCGCTCGTCCTCTGCCTCGCCCTCCCCGCGCGCGCGGAGGAGCGCGCTCGAGCATGCCCCCACAGCCCTCTGACCCCGCCCCTCTCGCCAGTCTCGACCCATGCCCAGCCCCCTCGGAGGTGCTCGACTTCTCTCCCCCCCCTCCCCGCCTCTCCCCCACCTAGGAGCTGCTCGAGTTTGTGCGCGCCTTCACCGTCCATGTCGACGGCGTGGGACACGTCTGCGGATTCGCGCTGTTTGACTTCGAGCGGCACGGCGACACGCGCTACGGCGCCCCCGTCGCGGGCGCGCCCGCGCACCGCTCGCGCGACGGCAAGATGGGAGGGGCCGTACCTGGACTTGAACCAAGTAGCAGCCCCTCACTGGCCATCACTCATTCCTCCTCAGGCAAGATGGAGAAGTCCTACCTCAACTTCAAGCTGCACCACCCGTCGTGGCGGCGCGGCGATGGCGAGGCGAGGCTCCCGCGATGTCTTCAGCCGTCAACCAGTCATCATTCATCACCAGGCGCGACGCGGGCGAAGTGCTCATCGACCGTATCGCGGGCCCCGGCAGTGTCGCTGCGGTGCAGCAGCTGGCGGCAGCAGCGGCAAGCAGCTCGCCCGACCAGCTCGCAGCGGCGCAGCTCACCGCACCACCCACGGAGCTGAACCCACACTGGATTCGAGACTCTGGAGGTATGGGACTAGGCGCAGCTCGCCGCCGCCCAACTCGCCGCCGCCGCCGGCTCGTACACGCGCGACCTCGCCTCGCCGCTTGCGGACGGCGACGAGCCCCCCTCGCAGCGGCGCGCGGCGGCGGGCGGGGCAGCTGGTGCGGAGGTTGGCGCCGCCACCGACCAGCAGCCCGATGGGCCATCTCTCCCCGCATCTCTCCCCCCATCTCCCCCCCCTCCCCCCCTCCTCTCTCTCTGCCCAGGTTGGCGCCGCCACTGACTACCAGCCGATGGGCCAGAGCCTGCCGGCGCTCGAGCCGGGGGTGGGGACCGCGGCCTCGGAACCTTCTAGGAACCTTCTAGGAACCTTCTCCTAGGCGCTCGAGCCGGGGGTGGGGACCGCGGCCTCGGCCGCTTTCATGCGATCGTCCCTCGGCGCGAGCCTAGACAGAGATCTGGGGAGATCTGGGGGAGATATGGGGACATCTGGCCCGCTCGTCCCTCGGCGCGAGCCTATAGACAGAGATATGGGGAGATATCGGGAGACATCGGGAGATATGGGGAGATATGGCCCGCTCGTCCCTCGGCGCGAGCGGGCTGCGGAAGGGCTCATGGGCTATGACGTGGAGTGGGAAGCATGAGCCGTGCATGGTGATTCACCAGGGGAGATATGAGGGAGATATGAGGGAGATATGGGGGAGATATGAGCCGTGCATGATGACTCACCAGGCGCGAGCGGCTTGATGCTGCTCGCGCGCTCGTCGGTGCATGCCGATGCGGGCGGGCGGAGTGGCGCCGCAGCAGGCGGGTTCGCTCTCGGCGCGTCGTTTCCGGGCGTGCCAGCTGGCGCCGTCTCGAGCGAGCTGCAGTCGGAGCAGCTGACGTCAGACATGATGGGCCTACTCGACCAGCATTTCGTCGCCCACTCGTGCGGCGGCGGTGCGCGCGGTGGCGGCGGCGGTGCGCCGGCGCCGTTCCGCGCAGAGGAGCAGCCGCTGCAGCCGCCGGTCGGTGGAGCAGCTCGAGCCGAAGACATGACCACGACACGTCCATGACACGTCCGAGACATGTCCTGTAGCCTCCGGCTCAGGAGCTCGAGCTGAGCAGCAGCCACAACGTGAGAGGCGGCGCCGCCGGCGCCGAGGCGGGCCTTCCCGTGGCGGCGCCCTCGGAGCAGGAGCAGCCCCGCCCCGATGAGGCCTAGACACTCCCGAGACACTCCCGAGACACTCCCGAGACACTCCCGAGACACTTCCGAGACACTTCCGAGACACTCCCGAGACACTTCCGAGACGCTTCCTACACACGTCCCAAAAGGGGGGGGGGGCGCTTGCGTCTGGGCCTCGGCCCTCGACTTCGACCCCGCACGCACCCGCGCCCTTCCCGAGCCGAACCTTCTCGGAACCTTCCCGCAGACCTCTCCGTCGAGCTCTTCGCCCGACTTGGCGTCGCAAGCGGACCACCAGGTCTGACAAATGGCTGCCGCACTCCGGTCCGTGGACGCTGCAAAACGCCGTGCGGGCTCTGTTTGGAGCTTGCCCGGCGCGGGGACCCCCTCGTCCACAGTCTCTTCCACATTCTCTTCCGCATTCTTCCGCTCGAGGGGAGGGGGCTGCATCCTCGCGGTCGTATCGTCGCGCAGGCATCGCCACACCTCTACAATCCCCCCCCCCCCCCCCCCCACACACGTAAGCCCCTGCGCGCTCTGTATATGCCCCAGCCGCTTCGCCCGCCACACGGGCGCGAGGTTTTGCCCCGGTGCCACTGTCCGGGCGTCTCTTTTGCAAGTTTTAGCTCTGGTCGAGAAAGAAGGACACGAGGGAAAATGCGTTTCCTCTGACACGCCTCACGATTAACACTCCAGCATCAAAAACCACCATGCACCAACCCGGGTTTGCCCCCCGCCACAGTGTGTGCACACAGAAAGGGCAACAAACAGTGAGACAGGAATTGCACACACTCAACACACAGCGAACGTGCTGCGAACGTGCGAGTCAGAGCGCGCGACCAACCTCCAGCGGCCTTCCGACCCTGCCTCCCCCTTCCGCTTCCCTCGCTCCGCTCCCGACTGCACATGCCATCATGCCCGTGGGTCCGACCCGCACAAGGCGCAGGCACACTGCCACAAGGCACAGAGCGAGCGCGCGGCTCCACCCCGAGACAATCGGCCCAACGCCTGCACGCCACGCGGGGATCACGCCGCCTGGTTCTCGCCTACACCCTGGCCTTTCGCTTCCCCTCCGCCTTGGAGTAGGGCGGCGGCGCGGGTAGCGCTGGCGGCGCGGGTAGCGCTGGCGGCGCGGGTAGCGCTGGCGGCGCGGCTGCTGGCGGCGCCTGCACGGCGCCCGCTGGGTCGGAGAGTGTGCAGCTCGACGCGTCGCGCGGAGGCAGCGGGTCGGGCTCGCTCACCGCGGGCTCGCCCCAGGAGATGTCTTTCGGGGGCCGGTCCGCGTAGTCCATCAGCTTGTCCATCAGCCTGCGCGCGTGTGTGTGCGTGTGTGTGCGTGTGCGTGTGCGTGTGCGTGTGCGGGAGTGTGTGTGTGTGTGTGTGTGTGTGTGTGTGTGTGTGTGTGTGTGTGTGTGTGTGTGTGTGTGTGTGTGTGTGTGTGTGTGTGTGTGTGTGTGGTTTTGCATCCCCCGCCGGCATGGGGCATGCATGGGCGCGGTGTCGGCTGCCCGCCGTGGCCCCCGCACCTCTCCGCTGTGGTGAAGCCGTGCCACGACTTGGCGAGCTGGCCGGTGGCCGGGTCGAGGAGGCCGATGTGGGGGAAGGTCGCGTCCTCCCGCAGGTAGTGTCGGCAGTACGTCGCCCCCTCCTCCGAGTCGAAGTAGCGCTGCCACAAGAGGAAGGACGAGCCGAGGACCGCACGCAGGCCCTCGTCGGTCCACGTGTCGGCGTTGAGCTGCTGCGAGGCGAACTCGGTCGGCGACTGGATGTTGACGAGCAGCCAGCGCGACTGCTGCCGCCCGGTCAGCCGCAGCTCCTCGAACGAGCCCACGAAGCAGACCTCCGTCGGCGGCCGGTAAATCTCGGACAGGTTGTTTGCGCGCTTCGGAAGGCCAACCATGGCGCCGTGGAAGCTCTCGTGGTCGCCCACCGCCCGCGCCGGCTCGTCCCGCCGCGGCGGCGGCGGTGGCGGGCTGAAGGCCGGCGAGGTGCGCCTCCCGCCCGTCCGCTCGTGCCAGGGGCAAGTACAGGTCCGTCTGATCCCGGCTGCTTCGGCGCGCTTTAGGATGTCTTGGCAGCGCGCGCGGTCATCGGGGTCCACGGGGGGCCACTCCTCGTCGTCGGAAGCCAGCGCCCACTCGTACGCCTTGTCGCCCTCCTCGTCGGCGAGGTTGGGGTCGGCGCCGTGGTGGAGGAGGAGCTCAAGGATCTCGTGATGCCCGGATCCGGCGGCGTGCATGAGGGGGGTGGTGTACCCGTCCGGGAAGAGTTGGGGAGCTCCTTCGTCGCCGCCCATCACCTTGGGAAAGTCCACCGGCGAGCCGTGAGTGAGCAGAATTTCCGCACTCGCGGTGTAGTTGTTCATGGCACACTCGAGGAGAGGCCAGAGGTCGGTCGTATCCAAGCCCATGTGGGATGCGGGACAGAAGTACGAGAGGAGCGTGGGCTGGCGGCCGAGCGCCGCCTCCCACTCGTCGCTCTGCAGAAAATTCTTCAATTCCTCCGGCTTTTGCACCAAATCCAGCACCTTTTTCGTTGCGTCCCAGTCGCTTTCGCTAATCGACCTGGACAGTTCGTCGAGGCCGAGCAGGTCCCGCAGCTCGAGTTGCGAGTAGCGACGGCGAGATGGGCTCTGCGGCGGCAGCCCCGGTACCTGGATACGCGGGCGCTGCTGCTCGGTCGCGCGTGAGAGCGTGCAAAGGAAGGAGCGAGGCTGCACCGGGATGGTTTCGCCCTCGTAGTACAGATCAAGAGCTCGATAAGCTGAGCCGCCGCCGCTCTCGAGAAGACGCTCGGCCTCGGCCTCCGTGCAGCCGATGACAGCTTGGATCGCTTCGACTTGACTGTCGACTGCCGACATCTGCCAGGGCGTGGCCCTACGAGCGCGGGCTCAAGCAATTTGCCTCAGCCTTCAGCGTGAGCCGATCAGAATTGAAATGGAATTCTTTTCAGTGCGGTGTTAGTGCCAGTCCCGACCAGTGTCGTGCGAGGGAGCTTTGTTGTAAAATTCTTTTCAGTGTATGTGGCTCTTACGGACATTCCCGTAGGTAGGTAGGAGGACTCAGCTGACAGGGTTTTAGGGGGGGTACCTCACGCATACCGCGCTGGTGTCCCAAGGTTGCACCTCGCCTCCATGGCGCCGAGATGAGAGGCGCAGAGACAGAAGGACGTGTGAAGAGAAGGGAAGAAAGGACGTGTGAAGAGAAGGGAAGAAAGACGTGTGAGGAGAAGGCGTGTCTCATGCGACCGCCATGAGAATATCCTGCTTCTTGGAAATTTTTTCTGGCCCGGTGTGCGTCCCCGGTAGTTTCACGCAAGTCCCGCGCGCTCCCAAAATGGAGCTCACGACGGGGCCGGAGCGCATTTTTAAGCTGTGCGTGGCCGATGAGTCAGCCAGGTTCCAGGCTGCCGGCACGATTCGCAGTGAGCTTGACGCGGCCGACGGTTTCATTCACCTCTCCGACCGCACGTCTGCGCCAGTGGTCGCCGGCCTGTTCTTCTCCACCGCGAAGGACCTCAGGCTCATCGAGCTGGCGTCGTCGAAGCTCGCACCGTTGTCGTGGGTAGTGGGCAAGATGGGCGATGCGGCGCCCACGCCAGCCGAGGGAGAGCTTGCGATACACTACCTCATTCCGGAGGGATGCGTGCACGTGTTCGGCGCTGGTGGCGTTCCGACGAGCGCCATCGTGCGAGAGGAGGCCGTGCCGCTCGGGGCGGACGGCAAGCACGTCTTTCCTGACTGGCTTTAGAGATTGGTATCTGTGGTCCGTGTTCTTCTTTCCTGAACCATCACTTCACCCGGAGATCACCGCTGTGCGGCGGCTCTGGCCGTTGTGGCCTTCGGCCGGTGTCTCTTAGAGTCGACAGCGCAATACACACAGGAGCTGTACAGGCGAATTTGATAGTTTGCTGACGAAATGGAAAGGCTATATGAGAGTGCTGTAGCCGTGGTCACTGCCCAGCACACTCCTCAGCTCCTCTCATGCTAAATGCAGCCGCCAGCTTGCCGCCGCCAGCCCGCCACAGGTCCGTGGACGCGTGGACCGCGCGTGCGGAGCCCGCTGGTGCTGCGCGGTCCTCTGAGGACCTATGGGAACACTTGCAAATCCACGTACCCGCGGCCGCGGGCGCTCGCTGCCATCAAGAATCACAAGGACTGGCACGCGCACCAGGAGCTCGTCAAGGCGCGGGATGTGCACGTCAAGAACAACCCGTCCCTCGGAGACAGCGCCGTCAACAACCGCGAAGCCGCGCGCTTCGTCTCCGCCTCAACGCCTTTCGCCGGCAAGGCCTTCGATGTCCGTGTCGACGGTACGTACGCCACCGCCCTCTCCTCCGACACCCTCCAAGACGAGCTCCAGCGAAAGCTCGGCCTTTGGCTCTCCGCGGCGCTTCCCACCCTTCGGTTCGCGCTCGAGCGGGGCATGCCAGTCGATTTCTTCGGCGACTACCTTTACAACAAGGCCCACCACCGGCGGCCCCACGACGGCGTCCTCGCCGCCTGGGCGGACGCGATGCGCGCCCCGGCCAACGCGCCGGTCGTGCACGGCGACAAGGAGAAACCAGAGCTCACCCGGCAGTACAACGAGGGGTACAAGGTCGACCTCGCGGAACCCCATGCGGGACCGGGAGGATGCGATGACGTGAATGAAATCAAGCTCTGGACGCCCCTCCTCAAGACCTCCTCGCCGGGCATTGGCAACGCCTCGAGTGGCGGCACGCCCGCCTCCGTTGGCCACTCCTACGCCTTCGGCAACACCGAAGAAAAGGCCCGCCGCCTGAACATGGGCTGCAAGGCGCGCGGGCAGCCCGGCCAACCCTTCGACCACAAGACCGGCCACGGCTACGTCAAGGCGCATCGCGGTTTCTACCACGACGCGATCTTTGTCAAGCGCAACAACTTCAACCTGCTGCTCCACGAGACGTTCGGCGGCGGCTTCTCGCCCACCGCCGTTCTCAAGCTGCGCCGCCTCGCGCGCAAAGTCGCGCGCGGCAGCGTTGACCGCACGGCCTACTCGCCCAAGTACTCGCTCTCTTTTATGTCCCACCATGCAGAGCGCATCTCTCTCTCTGTTGTGCGAGGCGTGAACCGCGCCATTCGCTCTCACCTGGCAACCCTGTCTGCACGTCTCGCGCGCGCGTGAACAGGGCTCCAGGCCCCAAATTACGTGTGAGTGTTAGAGTTGTTTGGTATTGCTAAAAATCTCTCTCAAACTATGGGAACACAAACTCTCTCTCTCTCTCTCTCTCTCTCTCTCTCTCTCTCTCTCTCCTATGTATGGGTGGAGGCGGGACAGGAGTGAAAGCACGCTTAGGCTCCTCGATCAAACCCCTATCCCGGTACTGCTCCAGGAGCAGATCGCGCACATCACCATCACGCATCAGTGAGAAAAAAGAAAGAAAACAGACAACCCAAGGGAGGGATGGGAGGACGGCACGCCGCCACCACACAGGGATTTTAAGGAGAGGAGTGTGGTGCTAGCGTGCTAGCCGTCGCCCACCCTCGGGCGTCTACCACTTCCTATCTCTCTTCGCAGTTTCTCACCAATTCTCGCAGCGACCTTCATGCCACCTCTCGTTCTTCTCACTCTCGTCCTCGTTCTCTCCCCTGCTGTTTCGCAAGGACCACATTAATGCACGCCGGGTTTTCTTTCTTTGCGAGCTCGATCCATGCTCTTGGCGATCGCTGCGTCCGCTCTTGCCCCGCGCCTCGCGCTGCGCGCTGCGCCCGGCGCGTCGCCGCATGCCGCCTCGTGCGTCCGCATGGCGGCGCCGGAGGAGTTTGATTACCTCGTCATCGGCGGCGGCTCCGGCGGCATCGCTTCTGCGCGGCGGGCGGCAGCGCACGGCGCCAGGGCGTGCGTGATCGAGCGCTCGCGGTTGAATACATGTCCAGCCGAAGAGGTCCCAGATAACAAGAAGGTGATGTTTAACGCGGCGACCGTCCTCGAGATGATCCACCAGTCGGAGGGCTACGGCATCTCGGTGAGAAGGGCACCTCCCGCACACCTCCGCACACCTCGGGCACTCGCCGGCACACCGGCCGCCCGACGGCAGCCGAGCCCGCGCGCCGGACGCCGCCAGGTGGGCGGGGCGAGCTTCGACATGAAGGCCATCAAGGCCAAGCGCGACGCGTACGTGACGCGCCTCAACGGCATCTACGCAAACAACTTGGCAAACTCGGACGTGACGTTTGTCGAGGGCGACGCTCGCTTCACCGGCCCAAAGACGGTGGCGGTCGGCGACCGCACTCTGACCGGCAAGGCAGTGCTCATCGCTGTGGGCGGCCGCCCCTCCGTCCCTGACATCCCTGGCGCAGCAGAGCTCGGCATCACTTCGGACGGCTTCTTCGAGCTCGACTCCGTCCCCGACCGCGTCGCCGTGATCGGGTCCGGCTACATCGCGGTCGAGCTCGCCGGGATCCTGCAGGTACAAAGAGATTCGGAGAGTCGGTCGGAGACTGGTCGAGATCCGGTCGAGATGCCATCTCCCCGTGATCTCCCCGCAGGTGCTCGGCTCCAAGGTCGACCTCTTCATTCGGGGCGCGACGCCGCTGCGCTCGATGGAGTCGGACGTGGTCGAGCGGCTGGTGGGGGAGATGGAGGCGGCGGGCATCACGATCGTGCGCGGCGAGGCGGAGGCGATCAGCGGCGACGCGGCCTCGAAGACGGTCGTTCTCAAAGACGGGAAGGGCGAGCACGGCGGGTACGGGCAGGTGCTGTTTGCGACGGGGCGTGAGCCGGTGCCGGCCCGCACCTCGGCCGCACCTCGGCTGCACCTCGGCCTGCAGTCTCGGCTGCACCTCGGCTGCACCTCAGCTTCACTTCGGCCGCACCTCGGCCGCACCTCGGCCGCACCTCGGCTGCACCTCGGCCGCACCTCGGCTTCAGGTGACGGGCTCCCTCGACCTGCCCGCTGCGGGCGTCGAGACGGCGCCGAGTGGGCACATCGTCGTCGACGCGGCGTCGCGCACGTCGAGCGAGGCTGAATTGCAGTGCTCAATCGAGGCACAACAGCGGAGAGGTGAACGAGTGCCCAGTTCTCGTCTAGGGCGTCTACGCGCTCGGAGACGTCATCGGCCGAATCGACCTCACGCCGACCGCCCTAGAAGCGGAACGCGGACGCTTGACTCCCAACTAGCGCTCGCTGTTTTACGTGTTTAGACGTACTCGGCCGCATTCTCCGCCGTATTCGTTGTCTCGTACCCACCCGTACTCACGCGGTGCTCTGAAGACTCTGCACGAGACCGCCCTCCCGCCCCGAGGCTGGCGTATTCAGCACGTAGGCCCACCGCCATCGCGGCGGGCCGGCTGCTGTCGGACCGGCTGTTTGGAGGCGCCTCGGAGGCGGACACGCTGATGGACTACGACTTTGTTCCGACCGTCGTGTTTTCGCACCCGCCGCTCGCGGTCTGCGGACTCACCGAGGCGAGATCTAGCCGAGATCTAGCCGAGATCTGGCCGAGATCTGGCCGAGATCTGGCCGAGATATAGCTCGCGGTCTGCGGGCTGACCGAGGCGGAGCCGATCGCGCGGCGCGGGCGCGACGAGAGATTTGGCGAGATTCGGCGAGATTCGGCGAGATTCGCGAGCAGGCGGAGGCGATCGCGCGGCACGGTCCGGACGCGGTGGCGGTGCACAAGTCGACCTGGGTCAACATGCTCTACTCGCGCGAGTTTTTGGTGGACGGGCAGCACATGCCCAAGACCTTCGCGAAGCTCGTCTGCGTGGGCCCGGAGCAGCGCGTGGTCGGGCTGCACATGATCGGCCTCCCTCGCCACCTGCGAGGCGCGGCCGCCCCGCTCTCCTCCGGGGTACGGCTGCCGTTTCCCCCTGTTTAGGCCTCGCCGTTGACGAGATCCTGCAGGGCTTCGCGCTGGCGATGAAGATGGGCGCGACCAAGGCGGACTTTGACTCTGTCGTCGCCATCCACCCCACCTCCTCCGAGGAGCTGGTTACCATCCCGCCGTGGCAGGCGCATCCAGTCACAGACTCCCCCGCGGAAGTCCTGTGCGCACTTGGCTCACCCTACGGCCGTGCGCAGGCAAAGTACTCTCTGCGGCCCGACGCGTACACGCCGTCGTACGAGGAGGAGCCGGTGCCCGCCAAGGCGCGCTGAAAGGGAGGTTGCGTTTCTCGCGCGGACGGCGGCACCGCGGTTCTGCCCGTTGCAGCCGTGCCGCGCGCACGGCGAGCACAACGCCCGCACACATTGGTCACTGTGCGAGGCAGGGACGATGTGACCGGGCAGTGGCACCAGGGGGGTGACACGCGCCCGGCAAAACACGCAACGATCTTGTGGTTGGTACGGCTTCAATACAACAGCTTGAGGCACACCGCAGCCAGAGCCGCAGACGGGAAGTTTGTGAGTTACTTTCCGGTCCGACTCTAAAATTCTGACATCGCACATCGGCGGTGGTGAGGCGGTGAGGCCCTCTTTTTTCAGTCTCTGCCCCTGCTGTCGCCCTCACCCCCCTCTCTCTCCCACGCGGCACAGTGCACAAACACAATTTTCGCTCTCATCACCCCGTCACGCCTTCACTTCCAGCTGCGGTAGCGGTCTCTTGCCAGCCTGCGGCAGCAGCACCCACCCCTCAGTCGGCGGCAGATCTGAGTCGCTCTTCGCGACGTAGACGCCGCCCCCGGAAGGCTCGTCTATCCACCACTGCCCGTCGCGGGTGTTGCGATAGATGTAGGCGCCGTTCTCGTGCAGGAACCAAGTTTTCTGCTGATCGGCCAGCGATCGCCAGCTCTCCGCTGTCGGCCATCGCATACTCTCACAGACGGCGGCGAAGCCTTTTGGAATCTCCGCGGTCGGGCTCTTGGCTACGAATGAGCCAACCACCGACGGTACGCCAGCCGCCACGATCCGCACCGAGGGCGCCACGGCATCGGGCTACGGGCTAGAGAGCCCTGATATGCGCGTCATCGAATCTTCGCCTCTCGGAACTGGCTCGGCCGTCAGAAAGAATTTCCAGTCTCTATTAGCTCCGAGTTCGATTGCCATACAGACATGGGTGCGAAACAACGACAAGACCAAGGCACGGGCAGAGGAACGAGAGAAGAATATAGGGTGGATAAAGCGCCTGTTCACGGCATGGAGGGTGAGCCACACCGAACGTACCGAGCGAAGAGCCGAGCGGAAGGAGGACGGGGAAGATGACTCCGAGGAGGACGAACCAGTGGAAATCCAGTTGTCAGATGTCACGATGCATCCGAAGGGGACCCCAGCGCCGGCATCATCCGTAGAGGCACGAGTGTTCGAAGAGAGAGTGGACCTGAGCAACAACATGACCTGTAGGCAAATGATCGGAGTGGGAGTCAGAAATGTGGTCCTTGCGCGAGGGGAGCTCGATAGACTCGAGGGGCCAGGATACGCCGCGAGGAGGACGGAGTTGCGCCGAAAGGCGAAAGAAGCCGCGAGAACAAGGGACCGGCAGGCGGCGGCGTCGCAGGACGAGGCAGAAGAGAACAACGCGACAGAGGAGGAAGTGTGACAAGGGAGAGAACGACGAGGGTGGGACGACCGCGAGGTGGCATGAAGGTTGCAGCGAGAATCGGCGAGAGACTGCGAAGAGAGATAGGAAGAGGCAGACTCCCTAGGGTGGGCGACGGCTAGCGCACCACACACCTCTCCTTAAAATCCCTGTGTGGTGGCGGCGTGCCGTCCTCCCATCCCTCCCTTGGGTTGTCTGTTTTCTTTCTTTCTTTCTTTAGAGGGGGCGACGGCTAGCGCACCACACACCTCTCCTTAAAATCCCTGTGTGGTGGCGGCGTGCCGTCCTCCCATCCCTCCCTTGGGTTGTCTGTTTTCTTTCTTTCTTTCTTTTAGAGGGGGCGCTCCGCTGCTAGGGGAAACCTGGAGCGCGGACTAACCCTCGGAGACCCGTGTTTACTTTACGGCCCTTCGCCTGCGAACGCGCACCCCCGGGGCTAGGGCTCTCTTGCCCGTAACCCGATCCCGATCATCCGGCCCGCTGGGTGCGCTTCTCAGCTCCTCGGCCCTGGATGTGAGGCTGATGACTGCACTCCAAGTGCTCCAAGTGCGTAGGACTCCGCGTACAAAGAAAGAATGGGTGAGAAACTGCGAAGAGAGATAGGAAGTGGTAGACGCCCGAGGGTGGGCGACGGCTAGCACCACACTCCTCTCCTTAAAATGGTAGTGATCTAATCACCCGAATACCACGTTCGGATCGCTCCTCATCGCAAACCCTGTCAGCAGTTCACCTACGCGCTACGGGTATGTTCGTAAGAGCTACATACACTGAAAATCCCTGTGTGGTGGCGGCGTGCCGTCCTCCCATCCCTCCCTTGGGTTGTCTGTTTTCTTTCTTTCTTTTCAAAGAAAGAATTCTACAAAAAAACTCCTCGTCCCAGTGTTGTGCAAAGAAAGAAAAACATCTAAATTGGTTTGACCAGTGCAAGGCCAAGCGAGTGCACGCCTTCCATCTGCAGCTCGGCGGCGCGGTTCCTGCCTAAGTAGAGTAGTGTAGGTGCGCCTGAAGCGCCCATTCTACCTGTAGCGCGGCTCGCTAGAGGTCGCCTCGGGGGTCTGTTAAACGAGTCGACAAACAGGGAACAGAGCAGCCGGAAGCAGGTATCCAGAGTCCATCCGCACAGAGAGAGACAAACCGCCCATCAGCATCACGATTGACAAAGGTCGACGTTGCGGCCGTCCCGCACATTTAAACGCGCGCAAAGGGCTCTTGGACTCCAGATAAAATCATGGTAGTAATCCTCATGCTGCCGGGGCCGATCTCGCCCCACCAATCACCGCACTGTCTTGTGGGCTGCGCCAAGATTCTTCAGCTGCGCGTTCGATACCTCGCCGCATCTCCAGCACTTCTGGGTGGCTTTGCCCGAGCTTCGCCTACAGACGAGCCAGCAAGGGTGTATGTACCTGTGGCGAGTGTGAAATTGAAAGTTGGTCTCCCGACGGCGAACGGGCTGCAACACGCTGATTGCTTCCTTTCCCTAAGTACTCGAGTAAGTGCCCGCCACCTAGAGCTCTACATGTATCGGCTTCGCGTCAATACCGGCGGAAATGTGGGATGTCTACCCCAGAAACACTCTACTCGGCAGCTGCGCTGCTCGCCGCGGAGCGGAGACGGCGCTCACAGAACCTGCGGGCGCGGCGTACCCAGCCCCGGAGGCGCTGCCCACGTCGGCTTTTCTTCTGCTCGTCGCCGGCGGCGGCGCCCTGCTGCTAAGACGGTCTCCAGAGCGAGGCGAGTTGCACCGCCGCCGTCGTTGCTGGGTGAAGAACCTCGCTGAGCAACGCCTGTCCGACTGTCAGGCGTGGTGCGGCCGCGGCGAGAGAGCCTTGCCCTCCACTCGCTCGGGTTCTGGACGATGCTGCGGCAAGCGCTGCTGCTGCTGCTGCTCGGGTTTGCTGTGCCACCGGCGCTCGCCTCGGAGGCTCTCGCTGGCGACCTGGCGGAGTGCCCCGGCGCCACTAATCCCATCGGCCTCGTGCTCGACTTCAAGACGGACGACACCAGCGACGATACCAACGTCTTGGGTGGGTTCCCAGGGGACATTGATACCCACTTCTACTCTCCGGTCGCCGCCATCGGGGCGTCCCAGAGCCAGGCCGACGTCGACGAGTGCAACCGCCGTGGCTGGCATCTCGAGGCGGTAGCGGTGGCGCTGCTACTCGCGGCGTGCCGCGGGCTGCTGCATGGGCAGCAGATCAAGAAGGGCCGCAGCCACGCAGCTCGCTCCGGGCATATGCTCGCCAACAACCGTGCTCCCCGAGATAGCATTGTGATCCTCTTCTTCTTCCCGCGGGGTGCTTCATCGGCGGTTTGGAGCACCACCGTCAATTGGACAGACGGAAGTCAGAGATGTTCGAACATGGCCGCTTGGCACGGGCCTGTCGCAACAAGCTTCACATTTCAAAACCCGAGCCAAGTCTCATCGGCAACTCTCACAGCAGGGGCACGGGGCTACCTGAGCAACGGAGGCTACAACCAAAGAGTCGGTCTTTCTGTGAACGATCAGGACATGGGCTTTTGTGGCAATAACGTAGGTTGCTTCCAGCACTGTACCGTTGGCGCACCAATCTTAAATGACGTCACACAGCATTGTGGGGCGGAGTACGAGACTTGCAGCGCGGTGAACAACAGGAATGTCTTGACTGAAGTTCAGACCGGCACACTCACTGTAGGCATTTGCGGAGAAAGCCAACCCTGGTGCAATACCAACAGTCCAACGGGAGGGGCTTGGGGAGCAGCGGTCCAGTACACTTTGACTTTCCAATGCAATGCAGGATATGCTGCAACGGCCAACTCGGGTTGCCAGCCCCAGCGCTCACCACCGATCAGTTGTTCAGCGCCCTTTCCGCCGATGTCTTCAAACTTATGTCAACGAAACAATTGTTCAGGCTGTGCCTTGTGGAGTTCAGGGGGCGAAGAGTGCGTACCAACAGAGAAACTTTCTGATGAGGCGCACTGCTTGGCTTACGCATGGACACCTCACTATGAATACAGTTGCTGGTGCGGTTCACCGTCTCCAGAGCCGTCGCCGTCTCCAGAGCCGTCGCCGTCTCCGGAGCCGTCGCCGTCTCCAGAGCCGCCCCTGTCTGTGTGGGAGTTACGGTCCAATGGAACCTGTGCTGTAAGCGATCAACCATCGGATTATGTTACGTGCTGCCATGCAATGAGGTCGCTGGGTTTGGGGAAGCCAACGCAAGACTTTTACACAGGACCAAATGCACACCCAAAATGCAATGTGCACGGCGTATTGTCAAATGGACACGCACGGCTTCTGTATTTTAACCGGACGGACAACGTTGCAACCACCTGTGATGCCAATTGGAACCAATGCGTCTGTAAGGTACCGTCGCCGCCGTCGGCCTCGCCCTCGCCGTCTCCAGAGCCGTCGCCGTCTCCACCGCCGCCCCCGCCGCCCCCATCGCCACCCCTCCCATCGCCCCTCCCATCGCCTCTAGCGGGTCCACTTTCGCTAAGCAAGCCGCGAATGTCGGCGGGCTCTACTGCTTTCGCCTGGCAGGTGCACACCCGCCCCCCCGCTCCATATGCAGCGTCCGATACCATGTGTGTGTCACTCACCTCGGCTCGTGCTTGTAGTTCTTGGCCAAGGTGACCGACGGCAAAAGCAAGACTTTTGGCAAGAGCAAGAAGCAGACCAGCCCGTGGTTCTCCGCCAAGGCCGCCCAACGTTTCTTGCCCTGCCGCCGTGCCCCCTTCTCGTGGCCATTACAGTTCACCGTTGCGACGCCATAGGTCACGACGGAGAATCAGCAGCCCATCAGCTCCGTGACCGTCACCCCGGATACCAAGAACAAGCCTTCCAAGGCGAAGCAGTATCTCAAAGGCTTCGAGATCTGGGTCGGCAAGAAGGCTGGACAAAAGGCGGTGAAGTGCGGCGGACCATTCGCCTGGTCAAAAATCAAGAAGGGGCCAGTCACGGCGCCGTGCGACGCTGCCAAGTCCAAGCGCGTCTGCCACCCTTCCCACCGCCACACCTCAATCCCGACTAGTTCCCGTGACGATGGGAAGCAAGCCCCCCCCCCCCCCACCAGGCACCGCTACGTGACTGTCATTCTCCCCGGCAAGAAGAAAACGCTGGCGTTTGGCGAGATAGAGGTGCGGTAGTTGGGAGGTCTAGACTGCTTTTACGTCCGAGAAGAAAAAACGCTGACAGAACACAACTCAGAAACCTACGCGCGCCGGCGGCGCAAATTCGGACCCATGTCGCAAGTGAGTTGTGAGGCGTTGGTCGCGTGATCTCTCACCGCGATCAGGCACTAGAAGCGCGCCAAGCGGATGTTGAACGAGCGTTTGAGTAAGTCACTGGCGGCGCCTTGCTCGCCCCTGTCCTGCAGCAGCCGCCCGAGGTTGTATAGCGACTTTGCTACCAACAAGTGCTCAGGGCCAAGAGTCTCCCTGATCTCGAGCGCGCGACGGAGGGCAACCTCCGCGCCAGCGCGCCAGTGTAGTCACCGAGGCGTTGGAGCAAGCGGCCTAGGCCTAGGCCCGAACCGGTTGCCGGCGCCTGCCGCATGATGGGTCTGACCTTCTGCTTCCCCCCCTCGTCTTGCGCATCGCGCAAGCCGCAACCACCAACCTCAATGAACCTCAACTGCTCAAGGCCTGCTGCACGATAGCACGAACATGGTCTCAGTCTCGTGCGTCGTGGCGGGTCCGCTGTGGGGGCCGAGAGTTTCAGCGAGACAATTGCAGCCTGACCCTGAGCCCGAGGTGCGAGGACGAGGCTCCACACGAGGCGTAGAGGGTACCGTACGGGGTGTGGACCCTGAGAGTTGACCTGGGGTTGTGCGCTGGGCCCTCCTGCTCGGCTCCAGCCAGTAGACAAGTCTTGTCATCAACAGAGTAGAAGGATCTGACCTCGGGGCCGATGTGAACAAGCGCTGGTAGCGTGGTTTAACCTCACACCCATGGTCTCACAGTGTGCCGGCAGTCGCCGAGCAGTGTCGCTCACACAAGCCGCAGCACAAGTGACTGAGGGCCAGTGAGGGCGAGCCCATCGCTGTGACAGCTGTGGCAGCCGCACAGTAGGCTGTGTCAACTGTGCAGAGCGTGTGAGCAGCCGAGGAGCTGCTCTCCAGGCTTCTGACGCAAAGAGCTGCATGCCACCGAAAGCGCTGTCCCTATCTTTCTCACTCTCTCTCACCAAGCCCCCCCCCGGAAGCCCGCGATTCAATGCACGCGCGTGCGACACTCACCCGGCCTTGAAAAAGTAGGGGCGCGCAACGATCCGCGGCCAGCACGCCCGAGGCTCGGACGCCCTCTCGCCGCGTCCACCGCCCACGACAGCCCCAGGGCGCGCTTACGAGAGGTTGATGGCGCGCACAAAGAGGCCGGAGACGGCGCGGTTGTACGCGGCCGGGTTCTGGTAAAAGATGCAGTTGACGGCGCACTTGTTGACGTGGTCGTCGAGCGCCTACTCACAGCGCTCTGCCCCCCCTCCTCACCCCGGGCGTGCTCTCTTCTCCTTTGGTTGCTGCGGCCGTTTGAGCGCGTCCAGTCCGCATGCGCAGAGCGGCGGCAGCGGGCGGCGCCGCTGCGCCGCCTGCGCGGCGGCGTTTGTGAATGGGTGAGAGGCGGCGGCGCGGGGTGGAGAGGGGGGGTGGGAGAGAGGGACGGAGAGGGAGAGGGAGAGGGAGAGGGAGAGGGAGAGGGAGAGGGAGAGGGAGAGGGAGGGGAGGGGAGGGGGACAGAGCCGATCTCGCCTCGTTGCGCAGCTGGGCGAGCCTGCCCGCCGCGTACCGCTCCATCGTCACCGCCTTGTGCGCCTGCGGTGTGGAGCACGGCAAGGCTGGGGGAGACGGGCTTGTGCAGAGTCGTCAGACCACCGCGCGGCTACGAGAGAGACGGGTACAGGGGCATGTACGGCCGCAGTCTGCTGCAAATGTCCTCTCGCGTGCTCGTTGGGCGAGGGCTGTTTCTCTTCTTCTAGGCGTGCGCGCCCTCGTGCGATCCCGCTCCTCCTCGCGCGCGCGGATCGACGCCAGCGCCTCGCTCCGCCTCGCCTGCAGGACGGGGCACGTCGCCATGGACGGTGAGGTGCTTTGGCGGCGCATACGCCCTCCCTCCCCCCCCCCCGCCCCCCCTCCCCCACCGGGCACAATGCCTCCTCCTCCTCCTCCTCCTCCTCCTTCTAGGAGGGCTTGCCTCTGCCCGCCGCGCCTCCTCTGTCTCGGCCTGCTGGCGCTCGCGCTCGGCGGTGGCGGCCGCGTCGAGGCCGGTCGCCTGCGCCGCCGCGAGCTTTTCCCGCCGACACGCCCGCTCCTGCGTGGCGTGGAGCACCTCAGGGTGAGGGCGGGGAGTACGGCAGCGTGCCGTGTCAGCACGGCATCGCGCTGCGGAGAAGTGTCGAGGGAGTGTCGTGCGAGTGTCGTGGGAGTGTCGAGGAAGTGTCGTGGGAGTGCCTCGCGGTGCATGTGTACGGAGTGCATGTGTACGGAGTGCATGAGGGAGCAGGCAGTGTCTAGGAAGTGTCTAGGAAGTGTCTAGGAAGTGTCTAGGAAGTGTCTAGGAGGGAGCAGGCAGTGGTTCGCTCCTCGTCGAGCCGCCGGCCCCTCGCCGCCTAGAGAGAGGTGGCGAAGAGCAGTCTGGCCCCGGGCTGGACAGCGGCGCGGTAGGGGCGGAGGCTGCCTGCCGCTCAGACGCCGCCCACTCGGCCCGCACCTGCGGTGAGGTAGGGAATGCTGAGAGGCGAAGAATAGTCAGGCAGGAAGGTCGAGAACAGTCAGGCAGGATGGTCGAGAGGCGAGGAATAGTCACGGAGTTGGCTAGGTAGAGAGGTGAAGACACAGTCTTGCCAGCGACTGGACACCAGGCGGTAAGGGTGTGGATGGAGCAGCGCGCTCTCCGTGTTCGGAGCCTCGCAGGAGTACACAGAAGGAGCACACCGACTGCAGTACAGTGTAGCTGCAGGGCGTGTGCACGGTTTGCGGACAGCGGACGGCGAGGGTTTGGGCGCATCTAAGGGAGAGCGCCGCAGCCCGCGCCGCAGCGCCGGCGGCGACGCCGGTCCGCGTGTCGTGCGCGCGCGAGTAGAAGGGACGAGCGCCTCCGGCGGAGGGCGGCGGTGTCGCGGCCGCCTCCACTCGCTGCCGGAGCGACGAGTCAAAGTGCTCGCGCTGAGTACCTGACCGGTGACGCGAGGGCGGAGATCTCTGAGGCAGGGAGCAGTGCAAGACTGCGAGAGGGCAAGAGAGGCAGGCGGAGAGAGGCTGAGCAACCTGCCGCACGGAGGCGGCGCTCGAGGCGGTCCCGCTCGAGGGCGGCCGCCTCGGAGGCTGCGGGTGCGCCGAGGTCCGCTTTCTCGGCAGCGAACCCAGACGACTGCGTACCAGGAGTGAGGTTGAGGATCATCGTGTTCTGTCCGCCAACCTGCCACCGGCTCGGGCTGGGCGGCAGTGCTCGGATGTTTTTCTTATTTCCCGGGCAGTTCTAATCTTTCATCACACAGCAAAACTACGAGCATGGTAACGGGGGGTAGTTACGGGCCCTCAAGCTCGTAGGTCCGACCTCGTAGGACCTACGAGCTCGAAGCTGGTAAACTACCCTTGTAACTAGCCTGGTTACGACCCGGCGCAGCAAAATGCGGCTTTAAACAAACGCGAGAGGCTCTTCAAAAACCCATTCTAAAGCAACAACACACACGGACGAATCAAAAGAGTGCGCTCCTGCGCCTGCCCAACTACGAGCCGTGCTACGAGCTCCTCGTAAACCGGTGGGATGGCCAGCAGCAAAACTGCTCGGCAGGTTAGCGCACAACACATCTCGGCGCATCTCGGCTCATCTCGGTTCATCTCGACTGATCTCGGCTCATCTCGGGCCATCTCGGGCCATCTCAGCTCATCTCGGGCCGCGGCGGCGGGGAGGGCGGCGACGGCGAGGGCGGCGGCAGCCAGGGTGGCGGCAAGGCAGCGACGGCGGAAGCAATGGCGGCGGCGGCGGCGGCGGCGGCGCGAGGGTGGCGGCGGTGGCGGCGAGGGCGTGGCGACTCGGGTCACGGGAGGAGCGACGGGGCTGGTTGACGGCCGCCGGCGACCTACCACGGCGCCGCACGCCGCAGAGACGCTGCCGAGAGCCACCGCCGGCTGCGCAGCGACCGCCGCCGCGCGGCTCGTGGCGGTGGACCTAGCATCGCCGCTCGGCGCGGGCCTATATACTCGACCGAGACTCGGGTCACGGCCGGGAGAGCGACGGACGGCCGCCGGCGACCTACCACGGCGCCGCACGCCGCAGAGACGCCGCCGAGAGACGCCGCCGGCTGCGCAGCGACTGCCGCCGCGCGGCTCGTGGCTGTGGACCCAGCTTGCCGCTCGGCGCCGCCTATATATTCGACCGAGACTCGGGTCACGGCCGGGAGAGCGACGGGGCTGGTAGACGGCCGCCGGCGACCTACCACGGCGCCGCACGCCGCAGAGACGCTGCCGAGAGCCACCGCCGGCTGCGCAGCGACCGCCGCCGCGCGGCTCGTGGCGGTGGACCTAGCATCGCCGCTCGGCGCGGGCCTATATACTCGACCGAGACTCGGGTCACGGCCGGGAGAGCGACGGACGGCCGCCGGCGACCTACCACGGCGCCGCACGCCGCAGAGACGCCGCCGAGAGACGCCGCCGGCTGCGCAGCGACTGCCGCCGCGCGGCTCGCGGCGGTGGACCTAGCATCGCCGCTCGGCGCGGGCCTATATACTCGACCGAGGCTCGGGTCACGGCCGGGAGAGCGACGGGGCTCTGGTTGATGGCCGCCGGCGACCTACCACGGCGCCGCACGCCGCAGAGACGCCGCCGAGAGACGCCGCCGGCTGCGTCGCGACACCTGAGCCCGCGCGCCGCGTGCGGGCGAGGGGAGCGGCGACTGGGCGGCGGGCGACGAGCCGCAGCAGCTGCGCCTAAAAATGAGGTGGCGGCGGGACCTAGAGCGGCTTCAGGCCCGCGGGGGCGATGCGCGTGTGTGAGGGGTCGGGCGCCTCCCCGGTGTCGCCCGGGCGCCATCTCGGACTCGGCGAGCAGCTTCTCGGCGGCGCCAAGCGGGGTGGAGCTGCGAGACGGGCGGCGGGAGCGGGTGTCGGCCCGTACTACATCGCCTTCGTCGCCGGCTCGGGTGTATACAGGGCCGAGGGGGCGATGCGCGTGTGTGAGGGGTCGGGCGCCTCCCCGGTGTCGCCCGAGCGCCGTCTCGGACTCGGCGTCCAGCTTCTTGACGAGCAGCAGCATGAGCCTTCCCCCCATGCAGCTTTCTAGCAGCTCTCTCCTATGACTGCAGAGCGCACGCGGAGCGCATAGACCAGTACTGCATTATGCTCACCGTCTCGTTCTTAAAGTTCGACCGCTCCGCTCCCAGTTTGATCACCTTGTTGAAGCCCTCGAAGCCAAAGCACCAGTAGCCGCGGGGCGGTCCATAGCGCCATATGTCAGTCGCGAGGTGGGACAGGAAGTGGTGCTTCGGCCGCTTCAATCCATTGTACTCGGGCACGGCGTCGAAAAGGGCAGAGTGCTCGAGGACGAGGTCATCGATACGCTCGATGTCGCTCAACGTCAGAGAAAACTGGACCACGATCGCGAAGAGCTCAACGAGACATAGCCAGCTCCGCCAAGCTGGGTGCGATCGCATCGTCTCGTCGAGCAGCGGGTTGAGGATCGCGCCGCTTCGCACCGGGGGGAGGGGAGTGGCTCACGTCACCTCTCGCGGCGACGAGCTACGCGAGCTACGCGAGCTACGCGAGCTACGCGAGCTACGCGAGCTACGCGAGCTACGCGAGCTAGTTGCCTGTGAAGGGTGAAGTGCATTGTCTGCGACCCGCTCATGCGGAGGACGCTCTCCGACTTCGGAGTGCCGCCGACATTGCACTCGAGGATGTTCTTGCGAATCGCAGGAACGCGCACGTCGGGCGGGAAGTGGGAGTAGGCAGCGATGGCCTTGTTTACCAGCTCCAAGCGAAGTCCCAGCTTCCCCAAAACGCAAAGGAGCCACGCGCACTCCGACCGCAAGAGGCCGTCTGGGAAGAGATGCAGCACATCCTGCGGCGCGATGTCGGACGGCGAGATGTGCGGCACATACTCGGGGTCGAGCGCAAAGTATAGCTTGTTGACGCCGTGCGCTTTCATCTCCCGCTCGAGCGCGGAGGCAGTGAGGGCTGGCCCAGTAGCGCGGCCGCCGCCGCCGCCACCGTTGGCACCGCAATCGCCCGCACTCTCGTTGCTACCGTCGCCACGGCGTGTTTGGCTTCATCACGGGACTCTCTGCTTGGCGCGCGTCGCGTGGGCCTCGTCGACATCCTCCCACCGCTTTTGCACCCAGCCGCGCCCGCCTGCAGGTACACCGCCTTTGCTGAACTTATCAACGAGGAGTACGGTGGCCACATTCTGCCAGGGCTCAAGCCGCTCTGTGGTGCGCCGGCGAGCAAAGGGAAGGGCGGCGGCATGACCACGAGCAGCGTGTCGGCTTGAGTGTGCTGCTTGGGTCGAAGAGCGAAGTGGGCGCGAAGTGGTCCTCAATATACCCCTTGTTGGAGCTTGGAGTGTAAACCCGAACCCCACATTTCGACTGTTGCCTGACTCTCATGGATAGCACGCCCAAACGAGGGGACTTAACCGAAGCAAGCCTGTCTCTCAAAGGAGGCGAAACACAGACCAACGATTGGGACACTAAGAAAAAACACGCGAAACTACAATCGCGGAGAATAGGGGGAGGCAAAACAGCACACCCCTGTCTCTCAAGGATCGAGCGAAAGAATCACACCAACTAAATTATGTACAATCGGACTATCGAGGGGAAAGGGGGCGCTGGCTTTGATCGAGGGGAAAGGGGGCGCCGCTCTAGGCTCTCCCAGTCCTGTTGCGCGTCGCGTCCGACAAGGCGAGCACCAAAGACCCTGCGGATTAAGCACGGAAAATTATCGTACCGCAGTGCGAGTGATGGATGGACCTGTTGCGTTACCTGAAGTGCCTCGCCACCGAGCAGATGCCTCTTGAGGCGGACGCGTCCAAGGTCCAAGCTCGACGATGGGACCTGTTCTTGCACCTTCTTCATGCTGAGCGCTGACTTTGTGCGCCAGTTTCCCGGCAACAGTCTGCCATTCTACCAGGAGATACGTGACAAGTTCACCACCGGAGAGCCGCTCGTCGAAGTTGCGCTCAACTACGCCGATGTGGTGAAGGGCTCCCACATCGACGACCCTGGCGGTCTCGCACCGCTGGATGCAGCCGGACGATCCGGACCCCGACGGCGAGCAGCTCAAGGCGCTCCAGGGCTTCCTCAACTCGCCCGACGGCCAGAAGATTGAGCGCGTCTGGATCGACTCGGCCTGCATGCCACAGGACCTCCCCAAGGGCTCGCGCAGCGCAGAGGACGCGGCCGCCTTCAAGAGGATGCTGAAGGAGGTGAACCGTCTCTACCTCGGCACCACTGTTCTGATCCTCCTCGACCTGTCGTACGTGTCGCGCTTTTGGACCCAGTTTGAGTCGTGGATGTCCATGCAGTACGCGACGCCTGACGGCCTCAAGCCGGCGGTGGGCACCAAGAACGAGCGGCACCACATCGTTTGCATCCAGAACGCCGCCTCGCAGGCCACGCTCTACACCACGGCACTGGTCGACAATTGGGCGGACCAGACGCCGCACGGCAGCAGGCGCACGCCTTCCTCTCCAAGCCCGACGTCACCGTGACTAACCAGAGCGACAAGGAGGCGCAGCTGTGCCAAAGATCAAGGCGCTCGACGCGACAGTGCAGGGTGCGTTTGGTGAAGTTAGCGCAGCAGCTGGAGGACGAGCTGACGGCGAGCAAGGGGTTGGCAAGGCGGCGGCTGCGCACGCTGAGGCGGAGCTGACCCCGTGGGAGACCCTTAATGAGCGAAGGCGGGCGAGGGGAACCGAAGTTTCTTAGTTTGGCGACTTCGATTTTTGCGCAGCGGCGCCGCCAGGCGCCCACCCCGGCGGTGAGCTCCTTTGGCTCGGCGCGGGCGCGGGGGCGCGAAGAAAAGAAATTTCCGTCGCCGGTCCCAGGCGCTCGGTGAAGGCCGCGAAAAATTAGAGCCCGCGAAATCGCTGCTGCGTCAGGACGCGAGTACCTCGCGAGAAGCCGTTCAAGCCCGGCCATCCTCACCCCCCCAAGCAGCTGCGGCCGCAATTTCAGCCGGTCCCGTGACCGCCCCGACCCGGCAGGCGCACGTTTGAGCAAGATCGTCCTGCAGCGCACCGAGAAGGGGCCGGTCGCGCGCAGCGCCACGCCGCAGGCGTCCGCCGGAGGCCCGCCGGAGGCTGTATGCGGCGGCCACTTCCCCTCGGTCTTTCGCCGCGCTCCGGCCGCACCTTGGCTCCTGGCCGTCTCTTCCGAGCGGCTTTGCGCGCCCCCATCATTCCCCTGACAGCAGCGCCTCACGGCGTGGGCTGCGAGGTCACTCGGGGTGACCCAGGGGGCGGCGGGGGAGCACTCTTCCGCCGGAGTATCGACGGTCTTCCCGCTACTCGCTCGTAGCCCACCACCTTCCCGGCAGCCCCACCCGCTCGGTTTGTCCTCACTTCTCCCCCCCCCCCCCCCTTTCAGGCGAGGCCCTGGCCACCAAACTCGCGCTCGTCGCTCCGGGAACGGGCAGCAGCGCGACGCTTTTCGAGAGCGAGCGGCGGCGGCGGCTCAGCACCAACCTTTGCAACGCAGGGGCTGGCTGCGTGGGCCCCCCCCACCGGACTCCGTCGGGCTCGCGTCTCCCTACCTCTCGCGGGAGCTGAGGGGAGCGCAGTGTGTGTGTGCGTCTGTGTCTGTGTCTGTGTCTGTGTCCCTGTCGTGTCGTGTGTGTCGTGTGTAACTCTCGCACTGGCCACTGCTCTATCTTAGCTCTCGCCACAGGCTCTCACAGCGCCTCGCCCTCGCCCCTCGGGGCCCTCCCCGCCCGCACGCTCGACACACGACAGAACCCGGACGACGTGCGTTTTTGCTTCTCTACAAAACACGCACACCCACGCCCGCCCCAGTGAGCGGACCCAGCGCCATCGAGAAGAAAGACTTTGGCGAGCCAACGCTAGGCCGGTCGCTCCCCCGTCTTTGGGCCCTGTTGAGTCGTTCCGGAAGTTGAAGTTGGCGCATCACAAAGAACCCAAATCCCTGCGCGAGTTGCGGATACACCCTGGTCCCCCAGGTGTGAACGTCACGTGTGAACAGTCTCAGTAGCCACTGTGAGTCTCCCGTAACAGCCGTAGTGCCTGTGAGTAGCGGGGGAGCGAGTAGATAGCCGAACGGGGGTTTTTCCCCGACCTCCCCGAGGTCGGCCTGCGACCTCCGAGAGGTCTTGCGCCGCTGCACCCGCCGGGTTTTGCGAGCCCGGAAACGCTGAAAAGTAGGCTAGTAAGCGGGTGTTCTGTGTGGCTTGAGTAACGATCAAAGTTCTAAAACCGCCCGGAGGTGCTGTCACTCCGTAGAACGAACTAAGTAAACCTCACCGAGGTCGCCACTCAACCTCCCGGAGGTCATGGCAGAGCGTCGGGCGCCATGCGCCCGCTCGCCAGGGCCCGGCCCGGGGAGTGGCAGTCGCTCTTCTTGCGACCTGCGTCAAAGGCTGCAGAACACGCTGCATATCGCCGGTTCACGGGCCCAAGGCGATGGTTCACGCCTCGGGTCCGGCGGCAGCTCACGCCCTGCACAAGGTAAACTCCCAGTTCCGCAGATTGGTAGCGGCGGCGGGGGAAAGACTGCAACCAGCCCTTCCCAGCCCAAAACCTTGGCTTCCAGCCTTCCCAAACCCAACCGTTCAGTTGTTGGGTCAAGGGGCGCAGAACCCCCCAAAGTCAACCGTTCAGTAGTTCGACCACAAGGGGGAAATTTTTCCCAAGTCGACCCTTCTGAGGTCGCGTCGGAAAAGGGCAAAGTTGAGCTCTCAGCGGTTGCACCAGAGGTTGCAAACGGCAAAGTTGAGCACTCAGCGGTTGCATCAACGGTTGCATCAACGATCCCGTCCAAACTTAACCCAATAAAGGACGCAAGTTCGATATCATACTCTGCCGACCCGACGGCCGCTTCGGCAGCAGAGATGGGCGGCCAGACTGGAGAGGGCTGGATGTGCCAGAAGGCAGCGCAGCTCCTCGCTCCAGCGTCGGAGGCAATGCAGCTGGCCAAGGGTCTCATTGTCGGGAAGGTGCACGGCGAGCCTGTCGACACAACCGCCTGGTCGACTCTCTCCGAGCTTTCAAGCGGGTACGGTGCGAGGGGCTTCATGGGGATCAACTTTCTGAACCGATTCTTCACTGCGTCCAAAGTTGGCCGTGGGCATGGCAACCCCACAGGCATGGTGCTGAACGAGGCGTACAAGGACCTCTCGCTCATGCTCATCCCCAATGACGGCCAGGCCGAGGTCTCCTCTTTTGGCACCATGCTCGAGCTGGCCACTTCCACCAAGCAGCCTGACAACTGGATCAGCTGCCAGTCGCCCGCCTTCCGCTACGTACTCACTAGCGGCAACCTCCTGGACGGCACCAACCTCGCCCAAGTCATGAAGCAGCCGCCCGCTGACAAGATCCTGCCCGACCAATCGCCAATCGGCCTCGCCCGCATTGCAGTCTGCAAGGACTTCCTGCTGAGCGGCGGACACGAGTGCCCCAAGATTGGGTGTGATGAAGAGATTGACTGCCACCAGTACCTGGTGACCTCCATCCGGCTGCTCAACCTCAACCCTTCGGCAGTTGGGCTCCCATTCAAGCTCAAGACGCCGGACGGCAACTCCATCACCATCAAGAACGAGGCGGAGTACACCGCCATGACCGAGGCCACGGTCATGATGCTCATCACGATGAGTGTGCAGCACAACTTGACGGCGCTGTGCTGCGACGACGAGGCTGCTCGCAAGGAGATCATGCACTCGCCCGCCATCCATGCTGTCCGGAAGTACGGGTTCATGCCGGACGTGCTCAAGCTCAAGAAGTTCACGCTCGACGCCATCTCCCAGGATGATGCGCTGCTCAACATCACCATCGATGTCTCCGCAGACGGGTTCCCACTTGTAGCTGGTGGCAACTTCCTGGCCGAGCTCTGGCCCCGCCTGCTTAGCTCGCGACTCCACCTCTCCAAGATCGGCCCAAAGTACCTTTCAAGTGTGCGATCGGTGTGGTTGAGTACCTCGCTAAAACCAGTTCGAAGGCCCTTGTCTACCGACGTGACCTCACGGGCGAGCTGGACGACCATATTGTCGAACACACCGAATTAACCAAGGTCGAAGTCAACCGATTCACCCCCAAGATCTTCCCTGACGCTTCGCATGGGGGTGAGAAGCCACAGGCTGGATACATGATCTTCCATGGCGAGGACCTAATCAGCTTCCACTCGGGACGACTCCGAACTACCCCTCTCTCGAGCACGCAAGGGGAGTACGATATCGCGACCAAGGCAGTCCAAACGGGACTAGCTCTCTCTGACACCATTACTTTCGCACTCGAAGACCTACCGGACTTCCTGGCGAAGCACTCGAAGGATGAGCTGGGTCTCCCCATGCCGGTCTACTGCGACAACAAGTCGGCCTGCCTCCTATCCGAGGGGAATACCTCTTCCAAGAGGATGCGGCACGTCGCAACCAAGATTGCCTTCCTCCGGGAGCAAATTAAGGATGACAAGCGCGTACACATGTACCACATCCGCACCCAAGGCCAACTGGCGGACATCATGACCAAGCCGCTGGTGGCAAGTGTCTTCCATCCGCTCGTCGCTTTCGCCCTCGGGTAGTTAGCTGGGGGACACTGGTGATCCCCAAACGGGCACTAGCAGCACCAACAGCCGCGGCATGTCGGCGCTGAGGGGGTGATCTGCGCGAGTTGCGGATACACCCTGGTCCCCCAGGTGTGAACGTCACGTGTGAACAGTCTCAGTAGCCACTGTGAGTCTCCCGTGACAGCCGTAGTGCCTGTGAGTAGCGGGGGAGCGAGTAGATAGCCGAACGGGGGTTTTTCCCCGACCTCCCCGAGGTCGGCCTGCGACCTCCGAGAGGTCTTGCGCCGCTGCACCCGCCGGGTTTTGCGAGCCCGGAAACGCTGAAAAGTAGGCTAGTAAGCGGGTGTTCTGTGTGGCTTGAGTAACGATCAAAGTTCTAAAACCGCCCGGAGGTGCTGTCACTCCGTAGAACGAACTAAGTAAACCTCACCGAGGTCGCCACTCAACCTCCCGGAGGTCATGGCAGAGCGTCGGGCGCCATGCGCCCGCTCGCCAGGGCCCGGCCCGGGGAGTGGCAGTCGCTCTTCTTGCGACCTGCGTCAAAGGCTGCAGAACACGCTGCATATCGCCGGTTCACGGGCCCAAGGCGATGGTTCACGCCTCGGGTCCGGCGGCAGCTCACGCCCTGCACAAGGTAAACTCCCAGTTCCGCAGAATCCAACCCTGCCAACCGAGCAAGCCCATGTGGGACGCGAGGTCTTGCTCCACCTTCTCGGCGCTCGCGTCGCCCAACCTGAGAGCCTCATCCGCCATGCCGGGGCACATCTTGACCGGAGCCGGTCACATGTCCATCGTGCCCAAGACGGGGCACGGTCGACTCGACCGCGGCCGATGGCACCGGCCCAACGGCCGACCAAGATTTTACGCCTCCGAACGCCGGGCCGGTGAGGTGGCGGGTCGGGCGACACGGAAAATCGGTGGCTGACAACGACTTTTTGAGGCCATCGGTTTGAGGTCTGCAGACATTTTCTGGATGATCTCGCATTTCCCGAGGCGTAATCGCAGATCCAGACGGCCCAGCAGGTGGGCGCTGCAGGCGAGCCGCCTCACATCCTTCGCCCCCCCCGTCGCTCACGCTGCCTCTGAAGCACCGGACCACCCCCCCCGCGCCCAGGCGGCCTAGCTGCCGCGGGCTCCACCCACGCGGGCCACCATCAGCGCCGCCCGACGGCTCAGAACCTCTCTCTTTAGGTCCCACAAAGGCGGCGAGCGAGCGGCGAGGCAGATGAATCGAGCTCTGGACGCATGCCGCGAGAGCTGTGAGGGTCGCAGCTCGGCCTCCATCTTGCCCGGTAGTGGCGCGTCGGCTTGCCGGCTCACGGGGGTCACTGCCCCTAGGTGCCGCCTCACCTCGCCTCTATGCACCCTTCACCCTCTAGCGCCTCACCCTGCCCGGTGCCGTGGTAGTGGCGATGTCAGCCATGCTGGACCGGCGGCAGCGAGGCCGACGGGCGTGGCTGCGGCGACAACGGCGGCTTGGCCCGTGACGGCGACGGCGCTGACGGCAGAGCAGCTGCGGCCGGCACGGGCGGGTGCGGCCGAGCAGCGCGGCGCTCACAGCAGGCGGCCGGCGTGGCGGCGGCGACGGCGCCGCACGAGGAAGCGGTGGCGCAGCCGCGCATGACAGGTCCGGCGCGTGTCGAGCAGCGAGGTGGCGCGCCGCGCTGCCGACGCGCCCCCAGGCCGGAGGCGGCCGCCGCGTGCCGAGCCGCCGGCTGTTGGTGCTTACAGTCTGCGGCGGCGGCGCCGCCGCCGCCGTGGAGCGAGGCAGCGGCGGCGGCGGCGGCGGCGGCGGCGGCGGCGGGGGATGCGGCGGCTGCACGTTGTGCCTCGAGGCGTCGCTCGCGGCGCTGGTGCGGCGCGTGGTTGGCTGACGAGGTTGCGCGCGCACGGCGCTCGAGGGTGTAGTCACGTCCCTCGGCTCTCGCCACCGCTGTCGCCGCGCGCTCCGCGTTCGTTGTCGCCGGCGCTGCCCGCCTCGAGCCACTGCGGCCACTGCCGCGCGACGTTGCGCCGCGCCACGCTGGCCGTCGCTCTCTCGACGTTGTGGAGGAGGCTCTGTCCCACGTCGAGAGGAGGCGTTCCCGCGGTGATATTGACCCAGCTCTGTTGTCTCTAGGCTGCGTCGGCACGGGAGGCGCTGCGGGCGGGAAGGTGGAGCGGGCTGCGGAGCGGCAGATTAGTGGCAGTGGCGACGGGCGGGGCGGCAGCGAGCAGGGTGGCGAGTGAGACGTTGGAGAGGCGGGGCTGGGGAGGCTGGTGCCGGTGCCACTACAGGCGGTGCAGGTGCGGTGTGCTACTGTAGTGCTCGCTCACCGGAGCGAGCGCGGCGCTCGGACCGTCCTGGCAAGGGCCGCTGACCAGGACGGTCGCCAGGAGTCGGCTTGCACCGCGAGAGCGGCGAGGCGGGGGGAGAGGCCTGGTGAGGGTGTCAGCGGTGGTGCGTGTGTTAGTTAGGGGGAGAGGCGCGGGCCGGGGGAGCGGGAGGGGGTGGGGGGGTGGAAAATTTCGATACCCTAAGGTGCCCTGGTGATCCTGGGTTAGTATCGTCTCTTCTGAGCCCGCTCTTGATGGGTTGGAAGCGTTTTCATAGCGAATTCACGCCGATTTTGCCATACGGACGTCCCTGGCGCGCGCTCTTGAAGGCCTCATCCTGGGATGGTGCTCGCCAGCGTGAGTTCATACAGTGCTGCGAGCTGGCCTAAGGCCGGACCTTACGACGGTCCAGCGCTGGGCAGCGTGATGGCTCTTACTCGAGGCGCGACATGAGTGTACGAGGACCTCAACGTCTCGGTTTGGCGAACCAGCATGAGGAGAGGAGCCGCTGTAGCTCCTCCCTGCAGCTTGCGCGTCGCGGTTTGGCCGACGTCCCATCCACCGCGCATACTGCGGCGGCTCTCCAGCTCAAGAAGGCTGCGCTCGACCACCACATCGCCCGAGTCAGTGGTCCGGACGCCCCGCTGAGCCTCGCGCCGCAGTGCAGCCAGTTTGCGCGGCCGTGATGCGCGAACCGAACCGGTGCGATGTTGTTCGGCACTCTAGATGGCCTGAACATGCTTGCGTTCAAGTCTTGAGGTCTGCGCTTAAACTTGAAAATTTAATAAAATCGGGTCCGACCGGCCTACCAACGCAGCCGAGAGATAAATTCTCCATAAAAGAGAGCCTAGCCGCTATAGCGGTGCAGAGCGCGAACTCGCCGTACTGAGCCTAGCGCAGCGCGAACTCGCCGTCTGAGCCTAGCGCAGCGCGAACTCGCTCCTGTTCATAGCTGCGCAACCCTAGCCGAGCTCCATTTTTTCGGCCGTCGGTCTCAACTCCGCTCTCCGGCCCGCGGGCTCCGACTGGCTCCGGCACATGATCTCGGCACATTTTGTTTTTTTCCCGCAATTGTGAAGACTTTTGCGAAATTCTTTTTCCCCGATCACGGCGAACAGAACATTCGCAGCGTCGCTGTTTGTGTGCAGGAATCGCGGCCGCCTACGCCCTCCTAGCCGCCGCCGCCGCCTTTTCGCCCTAGCCCGCGCTCCTCCCCGCCGACCAGGTCCCTACCACGCGACTCGCACCATGGGCAAGGGCGGCAACGCGAACCCGCGGGAGCTCAAAGGCGGCAAGGCCGAGCAGCTGACAGTCTACCTGTATGGCAAGGCTGTCGACGTCTCGAAGTTCGCGAAGCTGCACCCGGGAGGCGCCAAGGCGCTGCGCATCTTCAACAACCGCGACGCCACCGAGCAGTTCGAGATGTACCACTCGCCCGCCGGTGCGCCCGCCGCCAGAGCGCCGGCCGTGCAGCCGCCTTTGCGCAGCCGCCTCCCAACGCCTCTCCGCCGCCGCACGCCCGCCTCCCAGTCGCCTCCCTCTCGCACCTGAGCCTCCCGCGCACCCTCTTCCCGCCGCCCCGCAGCCCACAAGATGATGCGTGCGATGTCGAAGAGCGCGCCGGAGGCCCCGAGGGAAGAGGGAGCCTAGATGCGGGATGCCTCTCCCCGTCTCTCCCCGCAGCTCACCGACATCTCCCCAGTACCAGACCTCTAGCTGCGGAGCCTCTCCCCACACCTCCCACACACACCCACGGGGAGGGAGCCTCGATGCCGGCGAGACAGCGGCCAGCACGGGTGACGCGGTGGCCTGGCCTTTCCGGCCGCACGGGCCCTCGATGGCGTGGCCTTCCGGCCGCGCCGCTCGCATGCCCCCCCCCACCCACCCACCCACCCACCCACCCCACCGCGCGGCCACCGTCCCTTCGAGAAGTCGCGAGCAGACGTCCCCACACCGACGCTGCAGCATGCGCAGACCGCCGCAGACCGCCTCACCGCCGCCCCCTCCCCTCGTCTTTGGCGGCTCTCTGTGCTGCCTCTCCTCTCGCCGCCGCCTGACTCCTCCTCACTGCCGCCTCTCTCCTGCCTCACTGCCGCCTCTCTCCTCCTCACCCCCCGCCTCCTCTAGTCCTCTCCCCCGCCTCTCTCCTCCTCACCCCCTCCATTCCTCCTCCTCCGTGGCACGCGCCGCTACCCAGCCTCCATCAGCTACCCAGCCTCCATCCCTCTACGAGAGCGATCTCCCCGCATCTCCCCGCATCTCCCCACATCTCCCCATGCCTCTCTCTGGCCGCAGGAGAGCGAGGTCGCGACGTCGGTCGTTGGGACGGACTTCGCCAAGCTGACGCAGACGCTGCACGACGTCGGATGCTTCGACCCGCACTACCCTGACGAGGCTTTCAAGCTAGATCTCCCCGCACCTCCCCGTATCTCCCCGTATCTCCCCACATCTCCTTTACCTCTCCGTATCTCCCCGCATCTCCCCACATCTCCCCGCATCTCGCGATCAGGCCTTCAAGCTCGGCCTCACGCTGCTGCCCGGATTCCTCGGCTTCTACCTGCTGCGGAGCGGCATGCCGGCGCTCGGATCCTTCCTGATCGCTTTCTCGTACTACATGTCGGGGTGGGGCCTCGCGCGCACCACCTGCACCGCGGCCTCCCGGGCCCTTCTCGGACAAGTCTGTGAGCTGCCCCTTGCAGGTGGACCTCCCACGATTACTTGCACCACGGCTGCCTCAAGGGCGGCCAAAAGCAGCTGGTGCACTGGAACAACGCCGTCGGCTACGCAATCGGCGCTTGGCAGGTCTCCTCCACCTCGCCTCCTGCCGCCTCTCTCTGTCCTCTGCTGCCCCTCTCTCTTCCGCTGCCCGCCCTCTCTCTCTCTCCCTCTCTCTCTCTCTCTCTCTCTCTCTCTCTCTCTCTCTCTCTCTCTCTCTCTCCTCCTCGTCCCTATGTTGTTCTTGGATGATAGGTGTTTTAGGGCGTGTGTCATTTGTGGTCATTTCTTCTAGCT